AAAATCAACAGGGCACATGATCAGTCGCCCAAAAGAAAGCAAGCACCATGGGGTTGAAACTGAAATGGTTAAACCAAACGCCTACGTTTCAAATTCACCATTCTAATTCCACCGGGATTCTTGCTTATTCTACTAGAAGTCTAGAAACAAACGAGACAACACATCACAAAAATTATATTGCTAACTGATATTGCAATCTGCAAGCTAACTAAAAGCACATCGAAATTAAAAACTGAGATTATTAACAAATACCGACATATAAAATACAATTGAAAATGACAACATAGCTACCAAAAACTAAAACTAACTGATATTACAAAACTGCAAGCTAATTGAAAGCACATTGAAATTACAAACCCGAAAATACTAACAAATACAAAAAAGAAAATAAAACTGAAATACTACGTGGAATTGCAATTTCTGAGCTGAAGTTACTAACTGCAATTGCAAACTGAAATTGAAAACTAAAAGTCTACCTACAATTAGAATCTAAAATAAAAAAATGAAATTACTGCAATTGCTAACTGAAATTGAAAACTGAAAGTAGCACTACCTGAAATTAGAAACTAAAAATACAAAATGAAATTACTAACTGCAATTGCTAACTGAAATTGATAACTGTAGTTACAATACAAAACACCAAGCAGCTGCAAAGAAGCTAGGAGAACATGGCAAGCCGCTGCTCAAACCCGAAAAAAACAGAGCTAAGCTATGCAGTGCCAAAAATGTTGTTTATGCTGCCTAATAGTGGCCTAGCTGAGATTGCAGTTGCTATGACCTGCTGATAAGAACTGGAGGAACCAATCAATAGAGAAAGCAGGGATCCGAGAAAGCACAATAAGCTGCATTTTCTTAGGCAATGCTGTAGTGCAAAGGCAATTTAAGTCTCATTTGCTAGGCAACAATGTCTTCATATATAGGCAATTTATGTATTCTGAAAAGGCAGAAAGCGGCATTAACACTCCTGCACCATAAAACTATGGAAAGGCAGAAATATGCTTGATATATAGGTAAGTTGCAGAATTCAAATGTATCAGTAGAGAGGTTTTTACACTAGTAAAATAACAATAAGATGTTCTAATGCTCATCTCCCATGTTGAACTCCATCCATAAAAAGCCTAACCCCCCGTTTGGATGTAGATATTGGGCCTCTGGATTTAGAATTGGCATTGTGAAGTTGCCAATTCCACTGTTTGGATGGTTAAGAATTCAGAGTTGGAATTCGAACCCAATACCAATCGGTTTTGGCTATACCTGCCCTTTCTAATCTCCAAAATCGAGCCCCAAGGCTTCGTATTGTCTGGCATTCGTCCCCCGCCCCGACCCCGACGCAGAGGTAGGACGCGCAGGCCGCCCTCGACCCCGACGCGGAGGCCGCACTGACCCGACGTGAAGGCCGCCCTCAACCCCGATGCGGAGGGCCCCCAACTTGACGTAGAGGCCCGACGCACAGGTGACCTCTTCTCTTCTTCCCCGACACCTCTTCTTATCCATTGTCGGCGGCCCCCTTCTTCTCCATGGCCGGTGGCCCCCTTCTTCTCCATGGCCAGCGAGCTCCTCTTCCTCTTCTCCATGCTGGCGACCTCCTCTTGCTCTTCTCCATGGCCGGCGGCGCGAGATCTGCTTCGTCTTCCCCATGGACGCCGGCGTGAGCTCCTCTTCCTCTTCCCCATGCCCGGCGACCTCCTCTTCCTCTTCTTCATGGCCGGCGGTGCGAGATCTGCTACCTCTTCCCCATGGACGGCGGCGTGACCTCTCTTCCTCTCCCCCATGTATGACGGCACATGATCCACCATGTTGCCCGGGGTCGAGGTGCCCACGTTGTTGCCGGGGTCGTGCTCCCCCATGGCCGCAGTTGAACTCCCCTGCCGTGGCCCAACATTTCAATTCCATTCTTTTGCATCCAAACAGAAAATGGTATTGAGCTACTTGCTAGGATTCCAAAAGCCAATTCAATGATCATCCAAACAATAGTATTCGAATTGTGACCATTTCAATACCATGGCTGCTTTGGTATTGAACCCAATTCAATTCCAGCTCTCCCAATATCTACATCCAAACGGACCCTAAAGGTAATTATGCTGCAACTGCATCCAACAATTTACACTCACTACAGACAACAATTTGATACTGAAATGCTTCTATTGCCCCTGACATTTCTTTACTAATCAACATTGGTAATAAAAATGGCATCATGACTAGCACCCTCCCAAAATACCACAATAGTAGTAGTCAATGGCTACCACCGCAGCAATCAAATCAAAAAACAAAACATGAAACTATCAACTGACAAGAGGAAATACCATCCAAACCAAGGAGATATGCATCACCATCACATTACAAGGACAAGCATTCCTCACCCACGCACTCTAGAACTTCTATGTTCTGCTAGTAACACAGAACATGAAAACACAGCTCAATGAGCTGACCAACCGTGTCAACACCACAACAATCCAATCTCCATTAAAACACACACCAGCATCAATTGTGCCACCCCCGAAAATCACACCAACTAGAGAATGAACAAAAGAGCCAAAAGTCACCTTGAGCGTGAGGATGACGACGAGGAACACGTGGGCCGCCAGATTCTCTAGGAGCGTGACGATGACCCTTGAGCGCAGCACGGCTCCAAGCCAGTCTCCATCCCCGTCCGCCCCAACGTCTCCATCGAGGAGCGAGGACGCCCACCACTGCAGCGGCGGCCGCGACGCAGAGGCAGTTCACCGCCGCCATGGGGCCGAGCATCGGTCGACGCTCGGAACGAGGCGAAACCGAGCCCTAACCCTAGGGGTGGTGGCTCCTGATCCCGAGCACAGGGGGCTTTGCTTGGCGTGCGCGCTTCCGATTCCGGTGCTTTATTCGCGTGGGGAAGGGAAGGGGAGGGCAGGCGGGATGCCACGAGCGATGGCACCTCAGCGAGGAGGCCTACCCAGCGTGGATCCGCCGCCTCCGCCACCGGATCTGCCATGGCCGCCACGCCGGAACCCTAAGAAGCTTGCCGGAGAGAGGAAGGAGCCACATCGGGAGGAGGTGGCACGCGGGTGCGGGCGCGGGCACTGGCACGGGGGAGCGCGGTCGTCGCCGGGGAGGACCTTGCCGGGCGCTGGGGGACGAGAGAGACGGCGGACAGAGAGGGGAGGTAGAAGATGAGTCGAGTGGAGACGAGCGTGTCGGCTGGAGCGTCAAGTCCGGGTGGGTGTCTTTGGCTGGAGGGTGTGCGTCGAATGGGAAATAAAACGCCAGCCTGTATTAAGTCTTTACCTTCTTTTATTGAACATATATAAAAATGACCTAACAAACTCTGAACTAATGTTTTTCTTTTTTTTTTTCTTTCTCAAACATGAAGGAGAGCTACATATATCATTATACTAAGAAAAAAATAGGAGAACAAGAGCCGAAAGAAAGCCACACCAATACAACACCGCTAGGATCTAAAACAGAAAAGACACGTCTTTGATGTAGAAACAAACGATCCCTACTAGAAATCAGTCCATGTTCAAAACTAATGTTTTCCTGTACGTACAGTTAATGTTTTTCGGATAGCCTTGTATGGAGATAATTATAACATATGTGATAATGGGCTTGTTTGGGACAGCTTATACATAAGTTATTTATAGCCAAAATAAGTTGAGACCAAAATCCAAACGGTATGTTTTTTACAGCTTTTTTTCTAGCCACGTTTCTTTCAGGGCACCTATTTATACTAAAATGCTGAAAATGAGTCAGACCAGCTTATTTTGACCACTATTTTTGTTTTATTTTGAAAAACATTTTTTTGACTGTTCTAGCAAACATGGCAAAAAGTATTGTAAACACCGCGAAGGGATCGTTGCAACAAATAAAATATCTTTTGCATCGGTGCGTGGCAGTGGGAAAGCGGTTCCTTTCATGGCGTCTCTTTCCAGCAGAGCTCAATAGTCTCATAGCTGATCTGGGCTGACTCATTTTGTATACTAACAAATGTTGCATAGCTGTTCTAAAAAAAACAAATGTTACATAGCACAATATTCTCTTCTTGAATATTGGCATTTCATGTACGTGCTTCATTTTCTTTCACATTTGCAAACAATTATATAAACAACTAGCAAAGCGGTTTACTGCTTGCGTACAAACTTTGCTATTCTATTTCTCTGTTTTCCTGTTCACTATTACTTTACGTTTTCCTGTGGAAGCTCATTTAAATATGTTTTGCATCAAACGACTATATCTTCTTGCTTTGTGTTGCTTTGTCATTTTCACAAGGTAAAAGAAATAGGGCTTGTTACTTTGATCTTTCCAAAACATCATTTTTGATGTGTCCTGTGTACGTATACCTAAGCTAGCTTTTGCTACCATTATCCAAGCAGCATTGGAAATATCGCTAGCCCTCGTCTCCATCGTCCAAGCAGCATTGTAAACACCACAAAGGGATCGTTGCAACAGATAAAATATCTTTTGCATCCGTGCATGGCACTAGGAAAGCGGTTCTTTTCATGGCGTTTCTTTTTCAGCAGAGCTCAATAGTCTTCATTTTCTGTCACATTTGCAAACAATTATATAAACACCTAGCAAAGCTGTTTACTGCTTGCGTACAAACTCTGCTCCTCTATTTCTCTGTTTTCCCGTTCACTATATATTACTTTACGTTAGCCTGTGGAAGTTTATTTAAATATGTTTTGCATCAAACGACTATTTCTTCTTGCTTTGTCATTTTGACAAGGTAAAAGAAATAGGGCTTGTTACTATGATCTTTCCAAAATATTGTTTTTGATGTGTCCTGTGTCCTGTGTCCTGTGTACGTATAGCTAGCTTAATTTTGCAACCATTATGCAAGCAGCATTGGAAATATCGCTAGCCATCGTCTCCATCGTCCAAGCAGCATTGGGGTTACAGCCAGCCATCGTCTTTTGCACTCCTGCCTGTAGGAATCATTAGCCAAAAGTCTATATATCTCAGTATGCTATATGTTAACCAAATGCTATATTGTGCCAACTGCCAAGCCCCACTACCATTTGATCACCATGGCCACCACACCGGAGGAATTCTTCGTCAAGGATCTCACGGAGCAGCCACCAGCATTCCCACCTGTCTTTCCTGACCTTCGCCAGAAGCCCAATGGCAGCAGCGAGGGCCAGCATCATGTTCCTAATGCCATGATGCTCCCTTACATCGCACGCATGCTCATGGAGGATGACGATGGCGATAATAACCTCACTGATCACCCTGCGCTACTCCAGGTGCAGCAGCCCTTTGTGCAAATCCTCCGCTCCCTTTCCTTCGACGCTAACACATACACCAACAACACGGAGGGGCCCAAAGATTTTTGCATGAAGACCATGGTGGTGAAAGAGGGATTAGTTTGCCCTTATCCAACGGTACATATGTGGTGGGGCATCGTCCTTGGAGTGCATGGAAGAAGCCAACATGTTCTTGCCCAAAGACAACAACTTGACAAAGGATGAGCAGGGGAATCAAATCAGGGAAAGCAACGTTATTGGTAGTAGGATCAAGAAAAGGTATAACAGGGATCACCTTCTAGAGGAGGAGGTAAGAAGTACCAGCAAAGCTATGATGATGATCAAGGAGCCAGAGGAGAAATGTGGCAACGAGATGCTTGGCAAAATGATGTTGCATGCCTATGAGGCATGCATCACGCGTATGGAACGTGTCACCTTGGACAATAATGGCTCAGATAAAAGAAACAAGAAGAATTGGAGGATCAAATCGGCAAGGAACAATGTGGTCGACATAGGCACATTGTTGATGTCTTGTGCACAGGCGCTAGCAGAGGGCGATCACATGAGAGCACATGAGCTACTGATGCAAATCAAGCAACATGCTTCGGCAACAGGGGATGGCACCCAACGGCTAGCTCATTGTTTCACCAAGGGGCTAGAGGCACGCATAGGGGGCAAAGGGAGGAAGATTTGGCAGTTGCTTATGTTACAGCACCCCTCAGTGGTGGAGTTCCTCGAGGCCTTTAACCTTTACACTAAAGCTTGTTGCTTCCTCAATGTGACATTCATTTTTTCAACAATGACCATCATGCAGGCCATGGTGGGTAAGAGCAGGTTGCATATTGTGGATTATGGTATGCGTTACGGGTTCCAATGGGCAGGCTTGCTCCGCTTGCTAGCAAGTAAACAAGGCGGCCCGCCGGAGGTGAAGTTCACCGCCATAACCCGGCCCAAGCCTGCATACTACCCAAGTGACCAGATTGAGAAAATAGAGTGCCGGCTCATGAAATGTGCCCATGAGCTTGGCTTCCCCTTCGTTCAAGTTCCACGCAATCATGAGAAACTGGGAGGATATTTCCATCATGGACTTGCACACAGACGTTGATGAGGTGCTTGTCGTGAGTGACCTCTTCAGTTTCAGCATATTGATGGAAGAGAGCATATTCTTCGATTCTCCAAGCCCTAGGGATACTGTTCTCAATAACATCAAGAAGATGAGGCCAGATGTATTCATCCAGAGCGTTGTGAATCGTTCGTATGGTTCCTGCTTCTTGTCACGGTTTCGGGAGATGCTCTTCTATTACATGGCAATATTTGAAATGTTGGACAGAACTATCCCAAGGGAGAGTAAATCTCGATCGGTGCTAGAGCAAGTCCTCCTTGGACATTATGTTTTTAATGACATTTCATGCGAAGGCATGGACCGAGTGGAACGCCCTGAGAAATATAGACAATGGAAGACAAGAAACCAACGGGCAGGCCTAAGGCAGCTGCCACTAAAATCATGCATTGTAAAGGCAGTGGAAGACGAGGTCACGAAGCATTACCACAAAGACTTTATGATTTGCCAGGATGGCCAATGGCTTCTGCAAGGATGGATGGGCCGTGTCCTCTTTGCCCACACGGCATGGGTAGCAGAAGATGCCTCTTCTTCATGAAGTTTTAGCTTTCCTTATGACGAATGATATAGCATGTGTTCAGTGGCACCCTATTTAGAACAAAGACCTTTTGGATCTTCTTTACTGAAAAAACAAGTACGTTTAATTTGCTGGGATACCAGCTTAACACAATATTAGTCTTAGAAGTTTACTGCCATCGAGCGGAGAAACATTCTCTATGGGATACCAGCTTAATACAATATTAAAAAAAATATTACTACTACTTTAGTACTACTGTGAAAATATTAAAAAATCAATATTCCAATCAAATACCTGGTCAAAATTTTAAATGATTGAGCTCAAGTATATCATCATTAATATTTATTTTTTTTACATTCCTATAATTGTTTTTATTTATTATAATTATAATATTGCATAGAAAAATTACAGAGCAACAGATAAAGGAGGCTTGAAAGAGCTCTCATATAAATGTCAGGTGGCGAAGAGGACGTTCCTGCAAGCCGCACCGGTGTGCCTAGCAGCCATCATATTGGGATTGTGCGGCCGAGGGCTAAGGCCCATTAGCAAGAGCATCGTCTGATACTGATATGATACTTAAAACATTATAAAAAAACTTACACATTTCAATTGACCAAAAAGTAAAAAAAAATCCGTTTGAAAACTTGCATTACACAATTTTAGAAAAAAAATGAAAACCAAAATTTCCCATTTCAAAGTGCAAAACTATATTCTCATGACCAAATGACATAAGTATCAATTTTTGTCAAATGGTGGTATGAAAAGTATCTATTTTCATTTACTGAAAAAGAGAATGACGTAGTCCATCCACATATGATTTATCGTGAATAGTTTAAATCTCGTGCTTTGAAAGGAAAAAAATTATATTTAGTACAACCATTTCGTAAAACTATTATTTTTGTGCCTATATAATAACACACTTTGAAATGCCAAATAGTTTTTAAAAATTTATTATTTGTACCTTTTGTTTTCTTGAAATAGAAAATAATGATTTTAATAAACTGAATTTCGACAAAGTTATACTTTCGTAATTTTGTAGTGTCATTCTCACAATTTCTTAATTACTGCATTGAACAGTATTAAAAAATCGAAAAAAGGCATGCTGAAGTTTTTTTTTTTTGACAACAATAAAGCATGCGGATTGCGGAAGTTGGCTGTAGCCCCTGTAGCTAGCCAAAATCGGTTGTGGTAGTTGTGGACGGTGGTGGGCCCATTCCAATTTCCAGCCAATCATGCTTGCCGCTCGCTCGCCGGAGCTCCACCGGCCGCTGGCGCCGCTGATTCGCCGCCTACTTCGCCCCTCTCTCCAGAAATACTGGCCGCGCCACTGCAGCAAGGTCACGGCGCACGCGCGGTTATGTCTGCCTAGTCGCCGCCCGGAGCCGGGACGAAAAGGAGAAAGCGAACAAGGCACCGCCGCACCGCTGCTGCTTCCGGAAATGGCAGAGCGCGAGGTATGATCTCGGAGACGCCATGAATCCTCAAACCTTGCTGAGGGAGAGGTGAGAATGCCTGGACTGGATTTCGGCGGGGTGCGCTCTTATGGTCTGAGGCCTGTGTGCTGTGCCGGCTGAAAGGCAGGCGCGTGGAAGGTGTTTGAGGAAATGCCGCTCCCAGCGTCAACCTCCTGGAAGGGCTGGGACGCAGGCGGCGCCCTCATCTCACCACTCCATCAGCACGGTGAGCCCCTTGTCTGGCTGTTTGGCATGCTGTGCAGTGCGCTGCGAAACCTGCAAGTGACCCCAAATTAGATTGGCAGTCAGCTGGTGTCACTGTGTCAATGTCGATGGAATGGCTCTGCAGCGCTGGTGCTTGTGTAAATTCCGCAAGAAGCAGTCAACTGTCCCCTGAGACGGTGCTGGGACATTGTAGTGAGACCCACGCGTTTGTGGAAATTCGACAACCTGCCAGAGTGCCAGATGTTCTGCCAATTTTGCTTTCCTCTGGTTCAGTCTCTGCTTTCAACAAAATTTGGTACCACTCGTGTAAGTCAACAGCTGGGATGTGGACATTCAAACCACACCAGTGGAGCTTCCAGTGCATGACGACTTGGTCACTAGAAGACAGTGAGGCTGTTTGGTTCCCAGCCAAACTTTGCCTCACCATGTATGCCCGTGCCACAAAAAAAAAGGCCGCTGTTTGGTTGATGTGTCAGTTGCGGTAGCCACACTTTTTCTCAGTTCATTTTTGTGCTCATTTGCGCCACAGGTGTGGTGGCCATTTTCTCTGCCACAGCTCTTCGGTGGCACCACACGCTGGTTGGCTGGCATTGGTTGGGAACCAAACAGTTATCTTTTGAGAAAATTGGCTGGGCGCCACAGGTTTTCTGAACTTCTTGCTTTTAGTTACAGTCAAAGTCAGTAGCTTAACTTATCTTTTGAGAAAATTTAGCTCCCAGGTACTTTGGCTTCATTTCAAGCTTGACCTTCTTCTGGGATCTCTAAGGCAAATCTGCGAGGAAACCAATCCCAAAGAGCATGGCACTCTGGAGTGGTGTGGGTCAGGTGGCAAGCATGGCACAGCTTGCTGGGGTTGATGCCTATGGGCTCATCTCCATGATTGTGGAGGCTGCAAAGACGGTTAAGAGGAACCGGGAGACCTGCCAGCTGCTGGCACGCCGTGCAAGGATGATTGGGGACCTTCTGCAGCAGCTTGAAAGGACACAACTGATGCACCACATGGAGACGAGGAACCCAGTGGAGCAGCTGGAGGAGACGCTTCGGCATGCGTATGTTCTCATCACATCCTGTCGCGACAGTAGCTACCTACACAGCTTCTGTATGGGAGGGAACCAGGCTGATCGGCTTCGCGAGGTGCAGAATGAGATCACCTTCTACCTCCAACTTTTCCCCCTTGTCAGCTTTGTCGACAACACCCGTACATGGGAGCGGCTTCTGAGCAGAGCTTGTCCTTTGTGTACAACGGTATGTATTTCATCGTTTTGAAGTTTATCAGACTTTGTTGTGTTTCAGAAATGCTAGTTTTTGCCCTAAAGAAAAAGGACCAGTTTTTCTAGCGAATGGCATGCTCAAATCTGTTTCTAAATGCAAATTTCATCTTTTTTTTGGTTTCTTGCTGATTGTGTTAGTCACAGACTAGCCTACTGAAATTATGATCTTACACAACTCAAATCTCAAGATCATGCAACTGCTGGAGCCTATAAAAGTTATAATAAAAATATAATTCAAAGGAACTTATAGAAGCAGCATGTACAATAGCTACCTATTATGTCAAGGGAAACATGTGAGTAAATCTTCATTTACCATGCTTCGTTTACCATGCTTCGTACTAGAATTAGGATTTACAATGTCGATGGAAGTTTGTTGCTAGAATATTTGCTACTCCCTCTATTCCAAATTATAAGACGTTTTGGCTTTTCTAGATTCATAGCTTTTGCTATGCACTTAGATATAGTGTATGTCAAAATACATAGCAAAATCAATGTATCTAGAAAAGCCAAAACTTATAATTTGGAATGGAGGGAGTAATTGCTTTGATAATAGTTTCTAAGATATAAGTGATGCAGTTAGGCACAAAGGATCTTATCTGTCATCTTTTCTTTTTACATCATAAGGGAAGCACAGATGAGTTACATGCAGCACACTATGTTGAAAATGGAGACAGGTATGGTATCCCTTTTCTCTTATCAAAGTCATGGACTGCCTTCACTTGTGCATTCAGACATTGCAAACATGATTCATTTTGCTGCCGTATATTTCGTGTGTAGGCTGGATAATGCACTAAACATTATCACTCCAACACCAGACCTGTCTTCATATTAGTTATAAAGCTATAATTAAGGAAAGGACTGTGACTCGATGTGAAAATTATGCAGTATCTTTGCAAAATATGGCCGAGTGTACAATTCTGGTGCTGATGCTTAAGCCATTCAAACTCTTCTAACAACAGAGTTACCATGTGTAATACTATCCTGATAAAGAAAATTGTGAACTCATCCACCGTACCTGCAAACACAAATGGAAATTGCTTTTTAACAGCCAAAATCTTGAGTTCCATTATTGATATAGCCCATAATGTTCAATATATGCGCTACCATGTCAGGCTCAGATCAGAGGCCCTCAAGGCAACTAAATTCGAAAATATAGGAAGTCATCCAACCCTAAAACCTGACGAAGAGAAAACGGAAGGTATGCTATGCACTTACTTGACAGTTATGCAATATTTTCTAGTTACTACCAAATTTGCAGTATTATGTTCATGCTGACACTCATTGGGAGTTACTAGGATAATTGTTTCTACTATTAAGTACATCTATGTAATTTAGGAATATAACTTGCGTTAATATATGAAAAATATGCATAACATAATTGATAGAGAGTTAAGCCAACAGGCTTTTGGATGATTAGTAGATAGATTGCAGAGTGTTTACATATATAGGGATTACAGGAGGGTGGCCCAAGGGGCCAGCCGAGTGTGAAGGGGCCTGTCCAGCCAAGCAGGCGGCACAGGAAGCTAGGGGATTACATAAAGGAGTAATTAATTCTAACACCCTCCCGTAGTCGGAACGTCGATGGAACGAACATTCAGACTGGAGCGAAATTCTGTGAAGACAGAGGAGGGGAGCCCCTTGGTGAAGACATCTGCGTACTGCGACGTTGTAGGAACGTGGAGGACGCGGACAGCTCCAAGGACGACCCGTTCACGAACAAAGTGAAGGTCGATTTCCACGTGCTTGGTGCGTTGATGCTGAACGGGGTTGGTGGAGAGGTAGACGGCACTGACATTGTCGCAGTAGACGAGGGAGGCAGTCTTCAGGGGGTGGTGCAGCTCCTGGAGAAGTTGCTGCAGCCATGAGACTTCGGCGACACCGTTGGCAACAGCACGGTACTCTGCTTCGGCACTCGACCGAGAGACAGTGGGTTGCCTTTTGGACGACCAGGAGATGAGGCTGCCACTGAGGAAGACAGCGTAACCAGAGGTGGAGCGGCGAGTGTCCGGACAAATGCCCCCGGTCGAAGATCGATGTAGACGACAAAGTCGAGTTGGAGCAGACCGGGGGATGATCAGGCCATAGCTGATGGTGCCCTGAAGGTAGCGAAGGATCCGCTTGGCAGCAGTCAGGTGAGTCTCACGAGGATCATGCATCCGATTTGCTGGACGGCATATGCAATGTCAGGGCGAGTGAACGTCAAGTACTGGAGGGCACCTGTAAGACTGCGGTAGGCAGTGGGATCATCCACAGGAGGGCCAGCATCTGCGGATACCTTGGCACAAGTGTCAACGGGGTAGAGCGAGGATTGCGACCACTCATACCATGGCGCTCGTAATGTCCGAGGTGTATTGCCACCGTGAGAGGATGAGAGTGTCCCTGTGTCGCTGAACTGCCACGCCGAGGAAGTGATGCAAGGGACCAAGGTCTTTCATGGCAAACGCCTTCTTCAGGGCAGCAATCACACGGAGGAGGAGATGCTGAGAGGAGGCAGTGAGGACGATGTCATCCACATACAGGAGCAGGTATACTGTCTCGGTGCCGCGTCGGTGTATGAATAGGGAGGTGTCTGACTTTGCTTCAGTGAAACCCAAACTGAGCAGATAAGTAGCAAATCTGCTGTACCATGCACGGGGCGCCTGCTTCAGCCCGTAGAGGGACTTGTTGAGCTTACAGACATGTTCTGGGAAAGCAGGGTTAGCGAACCCGGTGAAATGAGAGCGATGAGACGGTTTCGACAAAGTCCCATGGAGGAAAGCATTCTTCACGTCCGAGTTGATGAATGGGCCAATCCCGAGAGTGTGCCAAGGTGAGAACGGTACGAACTATGGCTGGTTTGACGACAGGGCTGAAAGTCTCGTCGTAATCAACACCGGGGCGCTGTGTAAATCCGCGAAGGACCCAACGAGCCTTGTATCTGTCCAAGGAGCCATCAGCATGAAACTTGTGTTTGAAAATCCATTTTCCAGTGACCACATTTGCCTTGGGCGGACGAGGAACAAGGTCCCACGTGTGGTTGTCCAGGAGAGCAGCATGTTCTTCTTCCATGGCACGACGCCAGTGCGGATTGGCAAGAGCGTCGCGACAGGACCGCGGTACTGGTGACAGGGCCTCAGTATGTAAGGCGAGACGAGGCTGCCGATACCCGGACTTCCCGCGGGTCGCCATGCCATGAGAGTTGGCGACCGGAGGGATGGGGACAGCCGTTGTCGGAACCGGAGGGCCGTGCTTGACATAGCGCGGCGGGGAGGGAACAATGCTGGAGCGTCGAGGAGGGGCCTCCGCAGCGGATGAGCCAGAAGCGGGGAGGCGCCTGGAGTACACGTGAGTGACGGGAGGCTTGCTGAAGTAGGGAGCCGGAGGCGCCGGGGGTGCCACGGGTTCGGGCACCAGACATGGTGCCTGAGGCGCAGCAGGCACCGGGGGCGCCTGGACAGGAGGAGCCGGGGGCACCTGGGTTGCCGCGGGGGCGCCTTGGGGTACTGAAGGCGCCCGGGGGACTGGCGTGCGCGATCCAGTCACCGGGGCGAGCAGCGGCGAGAGGACGGGGAAGCCTGGTGGAGGCGATCTGGACGCCGGGGCGCCCAGTCCAGCCAGCGGGGTGGCTGATGGCGATGTCTGGGAGCAGGCACGTGAAGTGGATGCTGGCACAGTGCCAGCAAGACCAGAGGTACCTGTAGGTAAAGGAAAAACTGGTAGGGGGTCATCGTTAGTTAGAAAATCAAGCTCCTGTGGAGGAGGGGAGGATCGGCGAAGGGAGAACGGAAAAGTTGTTTCATCGAAAACAACATGCCGGGAAACGATGACTCGGTTGGTGGCGAGATCGAGGCACCTGTAGCCCTTGTGATCAGGCGAGTAGCCGATGAACACACATAGAGCGGAGCGTGGAGCAAGTTTGTGGGGTGCTGTGGCGGTGAGATTGGGATAACAGGTGCACCCGAAAGCTCGTAGGTTATGGTACGAGGGGTGGGTACCATAGAACGCAAAGAAGGGAGTGCTCATGTGCAACGTCTTGGTAGGGAGTCGATTCAGGAGGAGAGTAGCAGTGGCAAGGGCATCAGCCCAGTAGGAAGGTGGCATGGAAGCCTGAAAGAGGAGGGTTCGGGTGACATTGTTAGTGGTGCGAATCATGCGCTCGGCTTTCCCATTTTGTTGAGATGTATAGGGACAGGACATACGAAGAGAAACGCCGTTGGCAAGAAAGAATGCACGGGAGGCGGAGTTGTCAAACTCACGGCCGTTGTCACACTGTACTGTTTTGATGGTGCAGCCGAACTGAGTTCTTACATGAGCAAAAAAGTTGGAAATAGTAGGAAAAGTGTCAGACTTGAACCGAAGTGGAAAGGTCTAAAGGAAATGAGAGCAGTCATCGAGGATAACAAGGTAATATTTGAAACCGGATACACTGGTAATAGGTGATGTCCACAAATCACAATGCACCAAATCAAAATTCTGAGCTGCTCTAGAAGAGGAACTAGTAAAAGGCAAACGAGCATGGCGTCCAAGTTGACACACATGGCAGAGGGAGTCATCGTCAGGCTTGCTGTAGATGATGGAAGAGGACTGAGCAAGACTCTGAAGAGCAGCCTTGCCAGGGTGACCGAGACGGTGATGCCAGGTAGTCTGGGAGGGAGTAGTCACCAGTGCGCAGGGACCGGAGGAGGACGCAGGCAGCTGCAAGGTGTAGAGAGGTCCCTGACTGTTACATCGAAGGAGGGTGTTCTTGGAATGCAGATCATTCACAGAAACACCAAGAGGGTCAAATTCAACTGAAACAGAATTGTCAGTCGTGAACTTGCGAACGGAAAGCAGATTTTTAATAATATCAGGAGCTATAAGGACATTATTGAGGCGAAACGGGCCAGGAAGGATGGAGAAACCAGTGCCAACGACTGGGAGAGTGGCGCCGTTGCCAACAACAATGGAGGATGGAAAGAAAGAAGATGGCGAAGCTGTGACCATACCAGAGTTGGAGGCAATGTGAGAGGAAGCACCGGAGTCAATAACCCAGTCCGAGGAGCCCGATGGCGGAGTCAGGGAGACGGTGCTGAAGGCGTTGGCGAGGGACTCAGTAGTCCATGGCAACCAAGTAGGAGAGGGCGCCTGCTGGGGTGCCTGGTAGTATGCCCCGGGGTTTGGCGGTGGAGTGAAGTAACCCGGGGGCACACCAGCCACTAGGGCTTGCTGCGGTGATGGAGGCGGGACGGTGCGAGGCGGTGGACCGCGAGGACCGCCAGGAGTGGACCCAGGCCACATATGGATGGACCCGGTCCATGGGTTGAACATGGAAGGCCACTGCTGACCGCCTGGGTGCTGCTGCTGGCCGCCTAGGTGTTGCTGGCTGCTTGGTGAGCCGCCCTGTGCACCGCCTTGGCCGCGTCCGCCGCGGCGACGTCGACCGCGACCGTTCCCGTGGCCAGACAGCTGCCCCCCGGTAGTCTGATGAGGACGCGGAGGAGCAGAGGGCGGGGGAGGAGCGGGCTGCTTGCCGGACGATGAGGCGACGAGGGCTGATGGCGGTGCTGAAGGTGGCGCCATGTTGAGTTCAACAAAGGCGAGATCAAACACGCGACGCCGAAGGAGGGAATGGCCTCTGTCGAGTGATGAGCTGCGACATGAACTGGAATCGTTCATTGAGTCCGCGCAGGACGTTCAGCACCAGCGTGCGGTCGAGAACGGGCTCGCCAAGGTCGGCAAGCGCATCTGCCATACTCTTCATCTTGCGGCGATTTCGCCGATGGAGAGGGCGCCTGGCGAGGGGTGCGGAACTTCGGCATCAAGGAGCATGGCACGTGATTCGCGGTTGTTGAAGAACTGCTGCTTCGAGGCGAGCCATGCTGCCCGGCGATGAGGAGGCCGGTCGCGCTTCGTGAAACGGCGTCGAGGAGGTCGGGGGAGATGGTGTTGAAGATCCATGAGACGACGACGCAGTCCATGCGAGACCACGCCGCATCACAGGGGCGAGGAACGTCGCTGAGGACATGGTCCTTCAGGGCGTAGCGGCCGAGGACGAGAAGAACGTAGCCACGCCATTTGGAGTAGTTGGAGGACTGCAGATCAAGGACGATGGGGATCAAATTCTTGATGTTCTCGCGGCGGCGGCGGCTCGGCTATGAAGGTGAGCGATGGCGCGGCCTCGAGGGTGACGGAGCGCGTGTCGTCATCTTCGGTGTCGTCGCGGAGGGACTCAATATGGCCGGTCGCGGAGGGCGAGGCTCTGTCGCTCAGAGCGTCGCTACTTGCGCGCCCCGTGTCGAGAGCAGCCAGCGCGACGCTGCGTTCTGGCGGCGGCGGCAGACTTGAGAAGGTCCGCCTCCTCTTGAAGGAGCCGATCAAGGCTTTCGGTGTTGGAGGATCTGCAGCAGCGGCCTCGCTCTTCCGCTTTCTTAAGCGGCGGCGATGGCTTCATCGCGAAGTTTGGCCGCTGCGGCGGCGGCCGAGGCGCCAGAGTTGGAGGAATCGCCGGCAGCAGACGGGGCGCGCGTGGTGGCCGACGAAGGGGCGCGCGCGGTGGCCGTCAAGGGTGTGCGGGGGTCGTCGAGAGGCGACGCGGGCGCGGCGGTTGAAGCGCCGAGCGCGGGTGCCAGGAAAAAGAAGCGGAAGCAGGGGAACGGGCACAGGATCAGATTAGTCGTCTGATACCATGATAGAGAGTTAAGCCAACAGGCTTTTGGATGATTAGTAGATAGATTGCAGAGTGTTTACATATATAGGGATTACAGGAGGGTGGCCCAAGGGGCCAGCCGAGTGTGAAGGGGCTGTCCAAAGCCAAGCAAAGTGCACAGAAGCTAGGGGATTACATAAAGGAGTAATTAATTCTGACAATAATATTTGTTATGTATTTATGCCTTGCCTTTCAATAGAAACGATATCATATAGCATAATTTTTGAGAGATAATTCAAGTAATGATTATCATTGACAAAGTTGGTTTTCTTTGAATTAGGCCAAGTCCTGAACATTGGAGGATTAGTAAATCTCGTTGGTGGAGCAAAAGGAGCAGAGTTATCATATTTTAGTTTCTCACAGATTTTGGCTGCTACTGAAAACTTTTCAGAGAGAAATTTGGTTGGACATGGTGGATTTGGTTATGTTTACAAGGTAATTTTTCCTCAAGACACCTTTAGTATGGGCTTAAGTAGAGCACCTTTATCAGAAAACATCTCAAAATGCACTCTCAACATGGGGTGGGCTACTCAAGCATAGCACCTTGCTTGGCGTTCAAGGGTTAAACCAAATAATTTGCTCCATTGGGCTAACAGTCACTTTAACCAGCAATTTGTATTATCTGACACCTGGAAATTTCTTTAAGCTCCCTCGTACATCTTTGGATATCTTCTTTAACACTGACGCTTAATCTTGTTAGGGCAATCTCCTTAATGGTCTTAATGTTGCCATTAAAAGATTTGATACATCTTCATTTCAAGGTCCACATGAATTCAGAACTGAGATTGATGCCATTCTAAATCTTCGACACAAGAACATAATTGATCTGCTTGGGTATTGTGTTCAAGGAGAAGAAAAAATACTTGTTTATGAATATATGCCAAATAAATGCTTGGCATCTATCATTGCTGGCAAGTTTTTGTTAACTTAATGCCTCTTTCATCTTTTCTGTTCATTGTTCGGCAAGTACTATTCCTGATAGAAATGTATTGATGTTTTTGTAGATGAAACAAAAGGGAGTTGCTAAATTGGTCCTGCGTCTTCAAATAATCAAAGCGATAGCAGATGGTCTTGATTTTCTACATGGGCATTCTCATACGTGCATTGTCCATAGGGACATAAAAGCAAGCAACATCCTTGTGGATCATGAAATGAATGCTAAGATTAGCGATTTTGGTCTGGCATTAATGTTGGCTCCAAATACGACTGCAAATGTTGTTGTTCTGGGCACACAGTAAGAGCTCGTCCAATACACAAGTCAAGATATAAAATCAATCTTGTTATTTTTTCATTTTAAGTGTTCAGCATGTGCATTGGTATGATAATCCTCTCCACCACCAGTGGCTATGCAGATCCTGAATATGTTGCTACTGGTAACATCTCGGAGAAGGCAGACGTATATGGCTTTGGTATAGTACTTATTGAGATAATAAGTGGAAGGCTGATCCGGTCTTATACTATGAAGGCAGATGGCACTCCAGAGCTACCACTTCATGATTATGTAAGTATTTGTTTTTAGTTAAAAAAGGCATGTCCACAACAATATCTTAATTTGCAGCACAGTACTAATAATAAATGGTGTCGCTTGTTTTGTGACAACAAATGTGCCAGCTCTTTTGTTTTTATCAGGAAAAATGTACATCTAGATGACTTCTTTTTCTGAGTCCCCTTTTCTAGACAACGAAATTTCTTGTGTATACTTGAACTATGATGGATCATGTCTGAGAAATTGTTTGTTTGTAGTATTGTTTGTCCTCAAAACTTGTGATACTAGTGGCAGTCCCTTGGCCCTCCCAGCTGCATAATCTCCTTTTTCCCTATTCTTTAAAAACATGACTCTTTCAATATGTCATTGAGGAATGGTGTTTTTCAAAAGTCATCAATGCTAACAATTAGGGATTCCAGTATTTTTTTCAGGCACACAAGCACCGGAAGAAGCTGCACAGGTTTGTTGATCCATTGTTGCGCGTGAATGGGCATGAATGGGCTCAGATTCTGGAATGTGTGAGGGTGGCACAATTATGTATTCACCATCTTGCCAAACATCGGCCTACCATGTCAGAAGTTGTCACCATGCTTGGCAGCATCAAGGTGGCGTAGAGGGCACACGGCAAATAATAGGCCATTGTATTGGGAATACTAAATCTGATTGTAGTTTCGAAAGAGCAACAAAGGAATAGTTGCAATGTTAAAAGTGTCAAGTAATTAGCTACTCCAACTAAGGTCTTGTTTGACTGCACTTGTATCCATTTCATTCCACGTGTTAGAGTGGAGATTATCAAGTTTTCACCCTAGTCCACTGCGACATATGTCGAATGGGGTGGATACGAGTACTGCCAATCAAGACCTAATGTTTTTTTCCCTGTAGGCTTTGAATGGAGATAATATGTACGCTATCATGATCCTGTAAACATCATAGAGATATATGGGGCTGTTCAGTTCCTAGCCACAATTTAGCACAAGCAACCTTAGACAAGTGTGGCTAGAAAATTTGGAGCCACATATTGCCATTGTCTAAGAGAATCTTGTAACGCTTTTTTACTCTAAGCAATGTGGAGCCTAAAAGAATCTTGCCTATGTTTAGTTGTCAACCAAACAATTACCAACTTGGTTACACTTGCCTAAGGTGAAGTGTGGCAAAATGTAGCTAGCAACCAAACACCTCAATAGTTATTGTAAAATAGTTGGCAAGTTGGTCAGAGCACACACACAGTGGTGAGTTGAGTGACTGTTTCCAACTTAGAGTTACAGAGCTGGTGAGAGGTCCCTTTCATGGCTTCTGTTAGCAGTGAAGTATTAATGCTTAGGTGATCTGCACCTGGGAAATCTTGTTGAATAATTGAGCAGAGAGCGAGGACGAGGGACACTTCGCTGGAATGGTAATGGGTCCATGCTGCTGCTAATTTAGTTTACCTCAAGTTGGAATGACTGACTCCATAGGCATGTTGAAATTATCACAATGACCAGTCAGCAACCACACGTCCCTGCTGCTGGACAAATTAGACCGCCGAGGCAGGCTACCATTTTTTATATATATATATATTTTTTGATAAAAGGCAGGCTACCATTGATGTATACTGTGCGGCAAAGACTGACGACCGATGAGGAAGCAGCCAAATGATGAGTCCAACTTGGCATCTTTCAAACCTTGACAGTTCAGTCTCCACCACGTTTAGCGCCATTTTTCTCCTGTTTGCTTGTCTTATGAGTCAGTACTTTTTCAGCGAACAAACAATGTTTTTCTCTCACAACAAATCAGCGAACAGTACTTTCAGTCATGGTTTTTCAGCGAAGCGAACAGGGCCTAGTGTATACAAGCGTGAAGCTTCCTGGAAACCAAATGTCTTGGGTTTTGTTCATACATGTCGGCATCACAGTTTCAAAAATAAATAATTTTAATGGCATGGGCACGGCGTTATCACTTTCACACTGGTCAGTCTTTCTGGCTACCAAATCTTGGCCTTTTTATGTTCTCACCCACTCAACACCACCCTCTTCCCTTCCATCTTCCTCAATCATCCAGTACTTCCCGGCTACCACTAAAGGTCTAAAGCAAACCAAGGCAAGAACGAAGGAAGATGGCTCTGGTCGGGCAGGTGGCAACGGTGGCGCAGCTGGTGGGCGTGGACGCGTTCAGCCTCATCACCATGATCGCGGAGGCTGCACAGACGGTGCGGCGGAACCGCGCGCCGCCCGCCCAGCAGCTAGCCCGCCGCGTCGAGATGATCGGTGGCCTGCTTGGCGGTGGCACGACCAGGACACGCAGCTGACGACGCAGCTCCCGAGACACGGACCCCGTGGAGGCGCTGGAGGAGACGCTCCGGCGGGCGTGCCTGCTCGTGCGCTCTGCCAGCGCCAGCGTATGCAGCGTCGGGTGCTTCATGGGGGCGCGCCACGCCGACGAGCTCCGTGAGGTGCAGGGTGAGATCGGCTTCTACCTCCAGCTCTTCCCCTTTGTCAGCTACGTCGACGCCACGCTCAACTGGGTCAGGCATCTCAACAACATGCAGGCTTCTCATGACACTCCTTTCCAAGAGGTACAGCCACCTGTTCACAACTGCTAGTTCTCTACTCGTTGACCAAGAATGGATTGACAAGACCGATGCTTTCTTAAAACAGGCATTTGCAAGGGTTAAAGGAGCTAGTGTCACTTGGTGTCCCTGCGCAGCAAATGTGCAAACACGCGCCGGCAAAACCCAAGTTGGTCATGGGTAAACATCTTTGCAAGAATGGATTTACAATAGACTATACCGGATGGATCTACCATGGTGAAGCCGATTGTGGGAGAGACGAGGTCGTGAGACAACGCGACGAGGAATATGATGGGGATGCCGGGTAGGAGACATGTTAAATGACTATCATGAAGCACACTTCGATGAAGGACGTATGGAGGAGGAGCGAGGCTACCGCAAAGGCGACACGACATGTTGTCTACGGCACAGCAACCCCTTCACGGGCATTCCAAGGTTTCTCAACTAGATACCATTGCACGCCTAATGGCAGTGAAGTCCCAGTTTAGCTTGAGTCGAGACGCCTTCGATGTTATGCTCACAGTTGTTGGCAGCCTGCTCCTGGATGGTCACATCTTGCCAAAGAGCATGTATGAGGCACAGAAACTCCTTCGTGCACTTAAGATGCCATACGAGCAGATACATGCTTGTCCGAAGGGATGCATCTTATTTAGGAAAGAGTATGCAGAAGAAAAGTACTGTGTGAAGTGCGAATCGTCTAGGTTTCTGGAGGTAGACTCTGGTGATGGTCAGAAGAGGCAGCTCGCAATCCCCATGAAGATCCTACGGTACCTTCCTTTCATTCCGAGGATCCAACGGCTTTAAATGACTGAGGAATCCGCGAACAGATGACATGGCACAAAAACGGTCGTTGATACAATCCTGAGAAGATGGTACACCCATCCGATGGTGAAGCCTGGACAAGGTTTGATGAGATTCATCGTGAGAAAGCTCTAGAGGCTCGTAATGTACGTGTTGCGCTGGCAACAGATGGGTTCAATTGTGGCAGAACCGACCGAAATAGCACACTTCCGGAGGTGATCGTCTTCCACCAGACACTAAACTCCCCAAAAGCAAGCTACAGCGGGCGGTATCCGTCGGGCACACCCCAAGGAAGAACCCGAAAGATCCACATTTTTTCCAAGGATCCAATAATGAGAACGAGTTACAATACTTGTCCATTTCATACATCAAAGTTTCTTAAAAAGTACATTATTACATTACCAAATATCAGAGTGCGGAATAATAAACAGCAGAATTTAAAATAACATCTAGCGATAAGCAACGAGGATCCGTCTGAGCCCACCAGAAAAATCCACCACACAAAAGTACTTATCATGCATCACCTGCAACAGAGGTAAATAAACCCTGAGTACACAATGTACTCGCAAGACTTATCCGACTAGTGGGAATAATTTTCCGACTCCAAGGAATATGATAAGCTTTATAGTTTGCTGGTTTTCTTTTGGTAGAAAGTAATACTAATAGTGAGTCCTTATTTATGTTATTATTATCAACCGTATTAAGTTATTATCTATCTAGTCTATATAAGCACCTGTTCTACTTTCAAGCAATAGTTAAGCAATCAGTTCCTTTTCATCACCTTTCATCTCTCAGTTCTTACTACGATGCTAGAGTTAAGACATGTCGTATCAACTCGGTGGTGATTCGCGAACCAATGTGCCTAGCTGGGTGCCCCGAAAACACACGCCCCGCTTGTACCCCAGGCACAAGCAGGACTAACCCATCACCCTCCTGTCCTGAGTGTCCAGGTCCCCGTCCAAACTTGGACTCCAAGCCCCCACTCCTGAGTCCCGGACTCAATGCGGTGCAAGGACCTCCACCATCCCCGCCTCCAATTAGTCAGTCCAGAAAGAGCCGGATCCATGACAAGAGGGCAACAAGTCTTCCCTACGCCCATACCCAAGTATGCGCTCGGGACAATAGATCTGTGACTTGCCTAGCGTCCATTGCAACGACCGATCCTTAATTGACACAGACAGGGAAAAAGTGTAACCGAGCTATGCCCTGTTGGTCACAGGACACAACCCCTTACACCCACCAGTACCCAAACCATATCCCTGCCCGGTCACCATTTACCTTTCCATCATTTTATCATGAGTGATCATATTTATCACCTATTTACGATTAACGGCAGGTTACTCATGCTACTGATGTCCTGAGCATAGCAGCTACGCGACCTGTACTAGTAGGACTCATGGGTAGATATATTTATACATGTAGTTTCCATAAAATGTCTGTAGCTTAAATGAACATCATATATATATATATATATATATATATATATATATATTCAGTGATCATAAAATAGGGGTTATGCACCGGGGCTTGCCTTGAGCAGGCAACGGGTCAGTAAGGTCAGCACCAACAGGCTCCGGGCTCCCTCCTGCACGAGGATCTCCTCCTCGTACTCCTGAATCACCTCGTCGTACTCCTGTTCGTCGACGGACACAAAGTCTACTAGCTCGTGATCTACATGCATGAAATGAAGATGCAATGCTTAGTAATATAGCAACAACAACTCTTAAAATAAAGGTACATCTGTTTAACTACTACGCTAGTGCTACCGACCACGGTGCTACGTTATCTATTACTACCACTAACAAGTATGAAGTATGGCATACATTACTATAGCAACTATCGGTATTCTTACTCCTAATGCTGATTTACGCTATATATGATAAAGCAAGGATAATAGCTACTCTATTTATCATCCTACTCTAGGGCTACAAAATTTACAGCAAGCACATAATAACCTAGTGAGTCTACTGTAAAATTTTCATAGCTATAGCTAACACCAATTTACCACAAAAATTTCTACAAATATTAAGCTACATAATACTAGCTATCTAGTTTGAATTTATGAACCTACCATTGTCATAGCTAACTGTAATTTAACTACACTAATAGATAGATGATATTTTTGTGAACCTAACCAACTTGGTTTCACTATTTTTGGACATCTATAAAATTTACTGTAATTTATCAAAGTTCAGCTCATAACTAATTTAAATAAGCATTTATACTTTACTAGAAATTGAAGAAACCGATTTCTCACTTGCGGCCCAA